GCCGAGGCCTCCGGCGACGAACTCTCTCCCCCAGCTGCTCGCCAAGAACTCCGGCCAGAACTCCATCCTTCTCCTCTCCTCCTCTTCACCATTCGCTGATGAACGAAACCCTGACCGGGAACTGAAATTGTTGAGGGTTTGGAGATTTGGGAGTTGATTTTATTTGGTGCGTTTTATACGTGGAGACAAATTTGGGTTGCGTGTGTGTGCGTGGGAGAGGGAAGTGGGGGAGACGCGAGAGAAAGAAGGGCCATAACGTCTTTCATAAACGGAGGCCACTAGATTTTCGATGGGGGGGAAATTATTTCTTGCACCCTAGTTTTGGATTTTGTTTATTTTGTTACCCGTCCGTCTGTTTCACATTGCGTTTTCCGACATGTTAAAGATGGTGTGACTATCATCTCGTAATTACATGACTAGAAAAATGTCTTAAGAACCCAAAATATGGGATCAATAGAGAAAACAGGTAAGGTAATCCCTCCCTATTGCATAATAAGCTGGTCATGTCAGCTCATTATGCAACAGGAGGGGAGACATCACATGTCCCCTCCAATGGTCTCATATTTTGGGTCCTTATAGCAATGCTTGTTATGTAAGTAAAACAGAGGCTACAAAACACTAAAGCATTTTTTAAAAAAAAAACTAGGTGGAATGCACGTGATCAAATATTTTAATTATTTGCTTAAAGTTTGTTTATTTACTATAATATGGCTATAAAAAAGTTTATAATTATCACAATATTTTTTTTCTATTTCCATGTGTAAAATCTTGTTAGATTTAACATTTTTGTCTCTTAGAGAAATAGTGATGTTTAAAACCTTAAAATATTATTAATTTAAGATTAATTAGTAATTTGAATGTATAATTTCAAAATATTAATAATGTAAGGGACCGATATGAAAAAAATATTATTATTAATGAAGAAAATGAATTATTAAATTCATCAAATAAAAATGATAGGTTTTATCCAATTATTAAGGATTTATTTAATTATAAAAAAATCACTTCCACCTATTGTTTATCCCGCAACCAAGTATTGTATATATTCAATAACTTGTTTTCTAGAATTTTCTAAGTTAGAATGTGCAAATTTAATCAAGAACGAAAACATAAAGTATGTGATCAATTTGAAAATATGATATCATACTCTTTTTACATCTCAACAACTATTAATTTATCTGTCAAAATGATTACTCTCTAGTTTCAGAAAATTATAAAATATATTTTATGATTGATTTATATATATTATGCATTCATATTGATTGTGTTTTAACAAAATAATTCATATCCATTCAATGTCAAACAATATCCAAAAAATTATGTTAAGGAATTAGAAGAATACAGTTTTCGCAACAATACTCATATCTGCGTTATGAGCTTCATAAACTTATAAGAAGTTGAGTAACATAAAATGACATCTTAGTTTACTTTATCTAATAATTTATTATAAATCATGAAAAGGGGAATCAAAATGATCACATACTCATCCCAAATAAAGATTAAGTTTCTCTTGGAGATTTTTATAGCAAAATATTTTCACAAAAGATTTTCAGAGTTGATGTATAGAATAAATTTAAGGACAAATAACCCAAATCAATTCATTAAGTGATGGTTTTGCTATAGACTTTATTCTTATAAATTTGATGTCACATGTGTCTTAAGTTAAAGGTTAACTTTGAAAACTACCCTGCAACTGTGGGGCGCATGTCAACATCCCCCCACCCCGACCCACCCCCCCAAAAAAACTATTTAAAACAAAGTAAATATTCGTCAACTTTTGGGGTTTTGTAGGTAATCTATCTCAATGTAAAAATGTTGATTTAACCTCTGTGAACTTTTTTTTACTTAAACCTAACCTCTCAAAACTAATATCATTGAGTTTTATCTATTATGTGACAAGTACTTGACTTGAAAAGATGAAAATATCCCTCAACCATAAAAGAATTACCTTGGTTTTTGCCAGATAAAAGAAAAATAAATGATATAGAGGAAAAAAGAATTGCAGATTAATTGATGTCCTTTTATTATCGGTTGAGCGTTTCTTTTTACCTAAAATAGCTTTCTTCAAGAGGGTATTTTGTCCAAGTCACATAATGAAGTAACTATGTTAAAGGGGTCTATTAATAGAAGTGTGAAAGATTATAAGAGTTTTTATGAGATACGCTATAGTTGAAAGGTGTTTTCTAAAATAGCACCAAAATTGAGAAGGTTTATCTATAACACGTCCATAATAAGGGGTTTTATTAAATTGAATCAATTGAGTGGGTTTTTGAAGACAATCCTCATAGTTGAGACGGTTTTTGAAAAATTAACTCTTCTTTTAAATATGGCTTATTTATAATTTGTCCTTTAAAATTTTAATAATTTAATATTAGTCCCTAAAATTATAAGCAATTTCAAAATTTTGAGGGAATAACATAGAATT